GTGTATGTGATATCTTTCAGTAGATTTAAGAAAAATTTGCAAAGCAATTGAACTAAGGTGTTTTCAATTGGAGAAGCATAGGAAAGATTCCTCTCAAGGCTACAGCAGCTGAACGATGATAGGCTTCTCGGTGGTAGCTGGGAGGAAAATTCAATTAGGCATATTGAATTACAGGGTATATTGTCCTTCCCAACTTTTTTGCAATGATAGGTTAGAAAATGTTTGGAAAGTTTACGCTAACGAACGCATTAGTAGCAGTTCTGCTGGGAACACGTTTTTGTTCTTTTTGATGGTGCTTTATCTTGTGTTGTCAAAGGTAGATTTGTATTTTATCTAACTCGATTTTATTTGTTTATGTTAATCGAAATCTTCTCCAAATCGTTATGTTTATGAATAAGGAAAGAAAGAAGCAAATATTTTCTGAAAGGGGTGTTTTCCGGTGTTTCAAATGGCGTGGCCGTAAAAAATTTAGGGACAAGCCCCCTAGCTCCGTTCCAGCAACTCCCCTGTGGGCTGGTGCGTGGTGTCTGCGGTACAAACAAGATTGGGGCAAATATGATCCTTTCATACTACGCGAAAAGATAATAAGAAGAGACAAGCACAATTTTTACATCAGAGAGAAGATATTATTTGCCATCCCTAACGTTTGCCACCTCGTTTTTAGTATCAAAAAATTTTTAAGAAAAAATTTGAATGACAAAGAATTTGATGGGCTGAATGCAAATAAAAACTTTCCATAAGCAAAAAACGACTTTTGAAAGCCTCACCCAGCTTTTGCCCCGGATAAAAATTTAGCAAGATTTCATTCAATCATGCATTGAAATTTGAGAAATAAATGACTAAGATCACAGAGATCTCAAACTTGTTCTCAGAGGAATTCTACCAGGCGAGACAATGGCACGGATTCTGGCAGCAAATCCTAATTCTGCCGATGTAGAGAGGCTGATTTCCATCTACACTTTTCAAATATACGAATATTGCAATGAATATGCTTGATCTCGCAAGTTTCAAGTTCCATGAACAGCTGCAAAGATTTGGCTTCAAGAAACCAAAAACACTAAAGTCTGGGAAGCAAGACTGACTTGAGAGGGTTTTTGAAGGTTAAAGGAAAGAAAAAATAACTTTGACAGAGATCCGAACAAACAATGTTAAAGGGTTTCCTTTAGATAACTTTTTGCTCACAAGTTAAGACATAACTATATGTTGCTAATTTTCTTATTAACCTAATCAATATATTGTAAAGAATCAGCTTCTTATATATCGTTCATTTAAGATTTTGCCCAATATTTGCCACGTCCATTGTGCCAATCCCAGCAAGGTACCACGCCCTATTTTTATAAGAAAATGTGGATCTGTAAAAATTTCTTATTTTAGACCCTGAGCACACGACTCTTATCTGCATGTCTTTTTTATTTCACTTTTTATAAGCAAATCTCCCGAATAAGACATCTAGATAAAAAATTTAGGTGACATTTTACCTACCGACCAGCGATTTTACGAAGGATTTTGTGAACCAACTGACCCACAACCACCTAATGATGTATTTGGGGTGTCACAAGCTCACGCCCTCGCAAGCTACGCCCTTAACTGGATGTAAAACTTGTAATTGCTGTGAGCGATATAAACTGATCAGTACACAAGATAGAAAATGAAGTGATCAATGGTAAAATACGCGGAGTGGAGTTTTGCAAAATAATAATTGCAAAAATTATTTTTAAATGGGGGCTTATTCGAGAAGGGGGGGTTATTCGAGCGTGGGGCTTATTCGAGGATTTACGGTATTGGTATTATCGATTTTATCAAATAAAGTCATCTTCAGTAAAGGAGGCTTTTCAATACTTTAAACACTTCACTTTAAACATTGGTTCTATCTACAAAATGTCTTTTCTAGGTGGCTAGCTTTAGCTTTTTATTTTCATCTCGTCAACAAGAGTTGTAAAATCTCTACATTACAAGGGCTTTTTCTCATTTTTCAAGGTAAAAATGTTAGCTGTAAAAGATTCTATTCCAATCAGGTTCCTCTCAAAATTTGTGTTGATGCATATCGTATGAATTTTTATCAGGGTGAATTCTTTAGAGGTGTACCTTGTAATTTTGCCCTACATGCCAACTCTGCATTTTAATTTCTTTCCCTTACTCCCACAAACGCATTAGTTGCTAGACACAATACTCGACACTTAAAGGAGCGCGAGTGGTGTGTCACTTTTTTCAAGAGGTTTCTAGGATTTTTTGCAGAATTTTTCAAAGATTTTTCTCGAAAACAAAATGGTTTTTGCCAAAGGTGTACGAGATTTTCGTGAAGTGATATGCCCCTCAAAGGCATATGTTATGTTCGGAAATAATTGTGAGTGGTCTCTTTTTTAGCAAGAAGAAATAGAAAGAAAGTGACTGATAGACAATGTGATATGCAAACTCGCGCAATTAGAGCAATGATTTTAGGTAAAAAAGACTTACAACTTTATCCTTTGAAATCATATTTGACCTTTCAATTGATACCAAGAGAGATATTAAGAAAAAGCATGATTGCAAATTAAAAAAGGTGAATGTAATTCGATTCAGAGAAGTGCCTGCAGAAATTCGGAGCATGAACTTTTGTGCCTGCGAGCGTCGCTGGTGCGCTCGCGTAAATTAATGAGGTCTGCTTGTGGTATAATTAGATTGCAGAACTGGGCGATTGCCCCTACAGCCGCAGCTTTCTATTGTTGGCTGCGGTTATCGCCTTCTCTAGTTTCCTGAACTGTAGGAACAAAAAATGAAGAAGGCTTATTTTGTGAGTTTTTAGGTAGCAACTTTATAAAGCAAACTTTGAAAACTAGCATGTTCATTTTAAATTAATCTACAACCATAATCCATCCTTACTTCTTGAAGGCCACATCACTTGAAAATTTTTGAATTTGAGATATATTTTGGTACAAATTTAAGAATTCCTAGTGGGCCATATAAAACATCACTGTGAGGTAAATTTTGCATTAACAGCAAAAGTTTTCAGGGTTCAGGGCTCATGTTACTGGGGGTTGGGGCCATGCCCCCACCTTTTTGCAATGCAAATAGTTTCAAAGCTGCAATAAAAAGTGAAAGAAGCCCTAGCCACCCACTTTTTTCAGCCCAGCCCCCCCCCCACTTTCAAATTTATGACATGGGCCCTGGGGTTGGCAGGTTCTGGGCATTGAGTCCCTAGCTGCAGCCCTGAGCTGTAGCATCAATTTGTGGAGAAGTTCAATTGAATAACCAGGTAGCTCTAATTCTTACCAGGCAGTTTGGCGGAAATTAAGTTTTTCGCCTTTTCAGGGTAAGCCAAGTGAATTTTTCTACTTCAGATGGGGAAACCCCCCTAAAACCATACAATTTCTGGCACTAGGCCTTCAGCTATGACATCATTCTTCGCCAAAAGAGTAGCTTGTTTTGCTGATTCTCATAGTAATGTCATTCCAGTACCTTTTTTGTGCTTCATGAATAACTTGGCACAACTGAACCCTTTTACCAGAACAAAATGTGTAATAACACCATAGTCAATAGAAAATTTTTTCTATTGACTATGATAACACTAAAGCTTCTTTATGATACTAATTTTTTTAAAAAGGCACCAAGGCCTTGAAATAATGTCTTAATCATTTTCAATGTCACAAATAAAATGTTGCATAATTCTTTATGCTTTTCCCATTTCATTTACGATTGCTGAAACATGAAAGTTGAGTAATCTTGCACATCCTGTCGAAACTTTAGAACCACTAATAAATTTCAAAATCTCTTATGCACATTAACTTTAGAAGGCCAGTACCAGATGGAGCCAGGAGCAATGGATTACTGCCTGCACTTAACTGAAATCATTTGGCTTTCAACAATAAATGGGAAATGATTAACTTTATTGTATGACAACATTTTTTATACATTGTGGAGTAGTTAATTCTAAAACACATATGAACATTAATAAAAAACAAACTAGATTTAAAAGGAAAAGCAAAATAGATTAACAAAAGTATGTTTTTAAGATACCTTGGGTAAGGGCATGACCTCTAACCTTTTATTAAAAGTTATTGACATAAGTAGTCAAGTATTGCTGTTGTTAAGAAAACATGTGATCATTTAGTTTTATGTTTTTGAAGTGGAGTAAAGATGAGTTTTACACATGTCAAGTTTTATGACCTTGTATTGAGCCTGCCCATGGGGTTATGATATGATTGCACTTCTTTTGAGAATTAGATTGTATCTGCAGTAATCTCATTTGGACAAAAACAAGATTGTTTAAATTTATGACATTGGTAAGTTAGCTGTCATGTATTGAGAAAAATATTTTTATTCAAAGTAATGGAAGGAATTTTGATACTCAAAAGCGAATGTATTTTCATTCCTTTGTAATTGAATTTATTAAAGTAAACTTGGTGTCATCGCTAATGAGGAGTCTAAGGGCTGTGACGCCCACCTTGCAAAATCTTTTTGTTGAAAAATAGAGAGTTTTTTTGTCATGTACGGGTGCATATTTTGCAAACACTCAAACTTGTTGGCAAGTGGGACCTGAAAACCCCCTTGAATACAACAGGCCTGAGTAAATTACAACAAAGCCATCATGTATTAGAAATATATTCAAAAAAGTGCTGCAAAAATTAGGTTAAACTGGACTCAAGATTTTAATATTTTATTCAAAAATGAATTATTCTTAAACTTCAACGCCTTTTACTGTATTTCAAAACACATTTCAGATAATTCTTCACTTTAACTTTTTTCTGACAGTTCAAACATTATAGAATCTTGGTTGGTATCTTAAATTTATTTCTTGCCCCCCCCCCATTTTTGAAGTATGTCCCTGATGTCCCTCATACTCACCTTGGTGGCCTCAGGTTTCATCAAAAGTACTAAACACAAACCTTGAAAAAACCAGTTAATTTTTTTTGCAGGTAGCCCCACCCCCTTTATCAAAACATTAGCAAACTGCATTCTTATGTTGAGATGGACCTTCATTTTGTCTCCAAATGCAACCAGGGAGCGCGGAGCATCATACAGATGGGGGTGGGGATAAAAAGTTTGAGGGGCGCTTCCACGGTTTCTGAATGCAACTCCCTTCTTTTGATTCTTTCATTCTTTTTCGAAAATGATTAGGAATTAAATTAATCATCATTGTTCGATAATGCCTGATAAACCCGTATTTTACTTTCAAAGCTACCAGTTGTCAAATCACGACTAGAAGAGAAAGGCATAGGTACATAAATGTAAGTACAAACCTTGTTCAATTCTGTTTCAAACGCATTTAAATGTTGACTAGGCCCTTGTGCAAACAAATAATCTTGTAAAGACGAGAAATACAGGTATTACATGACTGCCGCAGTGTCCTAAGGCACCTGTCACTTGTCATCACTGCTTCGTTGTTGCTTGTTCACAGTAGAGCCGTGCAGGAGCAGACAGCTAAAATTACCAGCATGACTTTCTCAGGGGTTATTCTTTACAAGTACACTAATCTTTTTTATAAGAAACTGGCTATAAGAAACGAGTACTGGACGATCAGAAAAAATTAAGAAACTTAAGTACTCGAAGCAAAAAAATTAAGAAACTATAAAATCGTGATAAAACCGAGAACACAAAATAAAAAAGAGAACAACTAAATTTTTTCAAAATCCAAGAACATGATTGGCCTAGAACTTGAGACACAAGGGATAAAAATATACTTACCACCGAGGGGCAATTGCAATTCACTCTTGCAAATAGCGTACGAGATTTTCTCTAAAACAAAAGGATTCCCGAGGATTTTCAGATAAAACAATAGGATTTTCACAAAAGGTGTACGAGATTTTCTTGGAGTGATTTGCCCCTCGCTTCCCACATCTAAATACAGCATCAGATAGAACGGAAGTAAATCTCTTGACGTGATAAAAAAGGTCACGAACATTTCATAACATCATTCGTGACATCATAATTAAAAAACTCTTGAGAAACAATGAGTATTGAAATTTCCAGAACATTAAGAACTGGTACAAAGAGATACGACTCGGCTTCTGGTGGTTATGTTGAGGAATCTCCGAGTTTAGGGGGAGGGACTGGCTGCGCAACAGAGGTGGCGCCAGAAATCTTCCGACAGAGGAGCTGGAGCTTCCGACAGGGGGGCTAAAATGAATGAAATAAGCAGTTTTCGTACGTTATTTTGTCAAATTTGCTCCGACAATAACCTAGAATTTCCTCCGATGGGGGGGGGCTAGATGCTTCCGATGGAGGGGCTGTAGCCCCCCCTAGCCCTCCCCTGGCGCCACCACTGCTGCGCAATCAGATTGTTTATAAATTGTGCAAATTATTTTTAGTACGCGAGAATGTATGCTAGACATTGAAAACTAAACACACGAATTCAGAATTATTTAAAACATTTCCCACCTTCTAAACTTTCTCGTTGATTATGAAATTTCTATAAAACGGACACATGAAAATTATTTATGGGGTGGAGATTAAGATCTCTGGCCACTGATTTGTCCGCTCTGGTATGGGAACACAAAACATCGTCAGAAGCACATTCAAAAGTTTCGTCTTTGCTTATCAATCGTAAAAAGAGTTTTTAAAATTCAAACCTTGCTTTTTCATATACATGCTGAACTTTAAATGAAAGTATACCAATTAAATAGACCTTTTCATATACCAAGAATGAAGATTAGCTAAACTTTTTCATTTTCATTTGAAAATTTTGGAGACCTTTTGAACGAACAAAAAATGCAAGACAATTATTTTACACTGTACAGAAAATGTTGTGCTTAAACCAATATTAGCAATACATTCAAACTCAAGATCATGCTTGAGCAGTAAAATTGACTTATCTATGAAAACACTACCAATATTTGAAGATCTTTCGGCAAAAAACGCATTCTATTTGAAAAGTAATCAAATATTGTCATGTTGGGTACGTTCTCGTTATTGTTGTTTTATGTTATATTCTGACATGCTATGTTTAACAATGATTTAACAAGTCATATGTTTTAGCAAACCAAACTAAGTACTATAGTCGTTATTCTGCGATATTGCATTGTCTTAGGAATGAAATTCATACGGGGAGGGGAGGTTACTTACCTCCTTCCTTTGCAGTTCTCTCCCCCCTCCCCCCTTTTCGATGGTCATGCATGACACAGGATAATGACTGTTGAAATGACTACAAGTGAAGGTATTACGGCGAGGCCCCTCTCTTAGCATATAGTGTTTGGAAAACGTTTCACGATTGTTACATTTCTGTGAGATTATTTTGGTCGTGTTTAGGTATCTTCAAGTCATTTAAGTTTTCATCAATGTTGTCTGAGCAACGTTCTGAGGTTAATCAAAGGTTTTTCCTCGTTAATAACGTCCATTCTAAAATCTCCATTAATCTCTATCGTTTTGCAGGCGACCTTATTCGAGGAAGCCTAAAGGGGGGGGGGATAATTATAGAGATTTCTTGGAAGTCATCATACAAATAGATCGCTTCTGAAGCTTTTTAAATTTTGTTAGCTCAGTTTGAGTACTCAAACATGCTGAAGATCCATGTTATATTATCATGTAATGTAAAATATCATGTAAATGCTTTGTTCATTTCAGTTTTTTTCACTTTTTGAACAATGTGTGTTTTATAATTTACTTCAGCAATGAACTAAAAAAATGGCATATTAGGTTAAGAGCTTTTCGAGACTAGGGGCTATTTGACAATGATTACGTTTTTGGAGAGGGGTAGTTCGAGGGAGCTAATTTGATGTTACACTCAAAGAGTTTAATGATCATTCGATATCATTATGAAAATTTGTTATGTTTAATTTTCCTCTTCATGTACGGGTAGGTTGAGCGATTAGCGCTGGTGCACCAACGACCTGACACGCTTTCAATGATGTGGAACAGCCTCAAGACCTGTTGACTGATTTCTTGGCATTTTCTCTAAGGCTATGTTCACATTGCTCCGTATTCGTTATATCCGTTTTCATATCGACCCGCTTTACCTGTTCATACTTTTTTATCCGTTTTCATAGGAATCCGGAGCAATGTGAACGGGGCAATAATTTTGCCTTAAAACTTGTAATGTCCACAGGGAAACCAGAACAAGGGGGGTGCACGGGACACAAGTTTTCTCTATTTTGCAATTGTTTCGCCTTTTTAATGACGCTTTGCTCCCTTGCCCTACAGCTCTTCTGGTGTCTCTGATCGTAATATCTTTCATGAGTTAAAAGATTGCTGGCATAGTGGTGGCCAGTGTGGGTTCAGTTAGTAAAATCAGTTAGCTTGACTGCCCACATAATTGAAGCCTCAATTCGAAATAAGTCATTCATCTATCTAGTATTATGGATCGCTTTTGTTTTCTTTTAACAGGTCTGTCATCATAATCACTACAAGGAAAAAGAAAGAACCAAAAATTTTGGCTAAAATTTGACAATGACAGAGAGTTATATTTCCTCCGGCTTCGTGTCTTGGCACGTCTTGACATGATATGAGCCACTTTCGTTAGGATCAAATTCAGAGTTTTGAAAAACTGTTGAATATGCTCATAAGTACTGTGATAAATTTTTCAATCCCCTTTCTTATGAGGAAAAAACTTCACACAAATCAAAGCTCGAGACAAAACCTCGATAACACGATAACACGGCTTATGGTTTTGCTCTGATAAATCGTATGCTTGGGCAAAATATAAAATAACTTTTATTACACTTTTGAATTTTTGGTTATTAAAAGAAGATTTCATTTATATTCGATCGTTCATTTCTTTTTGCGTTGTTCCTGCCTATTGTCTACAAGTTTCCTACCAAGGATCGCATGATCAACGACATCACAATCATATGACCAGTGGTCAATGAATTGATATACCAGTCATTTGTACCAGACAGTGGACAAGCGACTACGGTGTGCATGTATCTCAATACAGATTGACTGAAAAACAGTGATTTGCTTGTGCTTGTGACCGAGTATTTGAAAGAAATGTAAGGACAGCAATAGCAATAAAATTAGATTGATCATCATGCTACCACCCATTGTTGCAACTGGGGCAACTCCTAATCGCCTGTGACAGTGTATGACACAAACACTAGTGCCAGTGAATTAGTTCAAGATATTACATATGGATTCCTAAAAGAACCCTTTCTAAAATCACAAAATTGCTTACTTAGTCACTAGGACCAAAATCCAAATATAAATGGCAATTTAAAATTTTTTAGGTCAACCAATTTGGAATAAAAAGGTTGGTACATCTACAGTCAGAGGATCATCTGCTTTTTGCTGGCTATTTGGACCTATTGCAACCAAATGATAATTGAAGACTTCTGCAATGTTTTCACAATTGTATGTTACACATGTGGGAAAGGTTCTCTTAGTAGCAACGCTATTCAAGACTTTCTTAATTGGCTTCAAAATTTCTTTAGGATTGCTGATGGTCTCATGGTGTGCATGGTCTTATTTTGTTATGTTGTTTGTTATGTTATATTGTTATATTATATGTTGCGTTGTTTTGTTATATTTTGCAATTCCTTACTCGAATAATCCCATTCCTGCACCCCTTCCCCCAAAACAATGTTGATAGATTAGAAAAATACCATAGAAGTCGCAAAAAACGTACTTACTAATCCCCTACGTCGTTTTGTAGAAAACCAACATTGTTCGAAGAGGAATGGCTAAATTTGCCCTTGAAAACTGACATTAGTGTACCTAGACTTTTCACAGGCATTTTAGAAGTCTTAACTGGTGCTTGCACTTTCAGTTGTTACTTTATTGCTTATTTTCTGCATTCAGGTCAGAATACATGGAGCCAATGCAAAAATTAATTTTGCTTATAGGGTTTTTTTGCATCTAGAATTGACAGGATAATTGTGAAGAAGCTTCATGTCAAGTCGCTGGTGTCCCTTGAAATTGCCAAGATATAACTGTCATAGTCGATACTTTGTAAATCATGAAGAAATATCCTAAAAGTAGTTCTCTAGACTACACATAGATATCCTATCTCGATGAGCTCCAAAACTAGGTGAACGAGGTTGGAGGCAAGATATTCTGGCAAAAAATTGGAAAAATTACCCAAAGCCCCAAGTAATTTTTTTATTGGTATTTTCATTATAAATTTTCAAAAAAATAAGCAGAAATAATTAAAGAGTCAGTAAAGAGACATGTTTATCATACCATTTTATCATATATTATCTCCCTCTAAATCTTTCTATTTTATATAAATAAAACTTTTATAACTCTCATTATTCACAATAATTTATACACGTCAAATAAACAGCTATATAATCAATCAACAATATGACCTTATTTTAATCCATCATCAAATGCCCTACATTATTCAAGTCACTAATAGCAAAAGTAATGCTTTTGTGCTCAATAAATTTTGGTGTACCAGTATGATTTTGATTAAAATATCAAAAGATTGTTCACATCGAAATAACAGATAGGTGTTTTAACAAAGCAAAAAAGCTTCAAGGTTTGATTCTTTGGATACTGACTTTTGAACAAGCCCAATGAATGAATCCCAAAATTTGGAGCACAGTTTAAACATCACTTTACATAAAATGTTGGGCCACATTGTTAACTATACATCATAAATGTATATAAATCGGAATGTTCGTAACATGTCCTCTTTTTAAATAACACTTGGTAGAATCTTCTAACAGTCAGGTTTTTAACTATTCTATAGAATGTTAAGGTTTCTGCTTAAATATAAATTAATCACATAAATAATCGGAACAATACCACAAACAAAGTAATGATATCAACTTTTGAGCCAAACAAAGAACATCAAGACATAACACTTATAATATTAATTCAAAAGCTCCTAACAAATTCATATGACAGTCACTGAGACCCACTATCAGGGGAATATTATAACACTCTGAGTATTCATCATATACTGTACTTTTGAGCAAAGATCTGGAGTTCAATTATGTATCTTTAATGCACGCTTTTTGGTATGTTATGTATTTGTCTTAACCTATATTTCCATATTATGTTTTGAGAAAGTTTTTTTAGTAAAAGTATTGCACAATATATTTGCCATATGGGACACAGGACTTTCAGGCTTCTGTCACACAAGACAATGTCAGTAAAGTATATAGGCCAAACTTTCTAGATAAAAACAAAGGTTTTCTAGAGCAAATAAATAATTATAATAAGTTATTTTGCCTTTTTAGAGTATGAAAATGAAATTGTGGGAGTTTCGGGTTTTATAACAAAGTGTGGATTCTTAAATTTGAAAAGTGGGGAATTTTCAGATCTACATCATACAGAAATGTATAGGGCATCAGCTAGATATTTCCAGCTTATTCATCTGAAGATAATTTATATTAACAATATCTATGATAAAGTTGGTTTCGTTTAAAAAAAAATAATTAGTATCTATTAGGGCAGATTGAGCAGACAAGTCTGATCAATGCAATATGTCATTTGCGTGTAAATCTGCGTTTCGCGGGTGTAAACGAGGGAAAGCACGTTGTGGTTCAAAACAATGGGATATGCATATTGAATGCAGAAGACAAGACAAAACGATAAGTCTCTAAACAAAATTTCGCAAATTTATCTAGTCTAAACTGCCATTCTTTGAAGCGTGCGGTCTCTGTTTATTTTTGTCAGTCTTATTGCTAACGATAATCCAAACCGTTGTGAAGGGCCGTTTATTGTTTTTCCAAGTTGGTTGTCTGTGTACAAGTTCTTTTGTTTGGTGACAATAGACCTCGCTAAAGCAGCCGTGGCCGCCCTGTTCAGCGGAGGGCTGTTAGGCATGGCACAGGTGTTCGAGACATGGAGTTATTGTAGTATAGCAACGTGCATAGGCAGGTTGTTTTGATTCATACACATTGAGAGCCTCTTTAACATAAGTACCACTTATAAATATTTCCTAACACATATAACTCAGAATATGCAATAATATTAACACATTTTGTCAGGCTGTGAAGCCTTTATAAAGAATTTTTGACATTGTTTGATAAGAGAACTGCCATTAAAAATGTTCTTTTCTTGGAATCTTCTTTTGAACAGACAGACGAACAAGTAAAACCTTGCATAAAAGCTGCTTTTTAAGCATCGTTAAAATTTATACCGCAGGAAATTTGACCCAACACGATTGTACGAAGAAAGCCTTGCACAAAAAGCAAGCCTTCAATAAAATTAAATATATACATTATTCATATCTGGGGGTGGACAAAAGGAAAGCGCGAGTGCATTGAATGCAAGTGGTTTAAAAGGCCACGTCGCCTAACAAAATTCCTACCACAAAATTTGCATGGGTAAGTGACGTGGTCGGTTTCGTGTAATTTTACGTGTTTTTTCATGTTGCTTGGATCACTAAAGGATTTTCCACAAACCTGGCATTTTAAGGGTTTTTCCCCTGAGTGTGTCCTCATGTGAATCTTCAGCACGTATTTTCTGCAATAAATTTTTCCACATTTTTCGCATTTGAAGCCTTTGCTCCCTGAAACTTGTTGTTGCTGCCGTGTTTGTAAGGGTTGTGTGGGGGTTTCCTCTCCGTCGCTATGTTGTTCCTTTTTCTTCACAGGACGGGGGGTTACCTTGGGCTTCTCTGGAACTTCTTCTATAGTTTCCTCTTCTTGCTTTATAGGAAATTTTCGTTCCACATTCTGTTGTTGGACATCTTCTGCTTGCACGGCCCCCAGGGTGTTTCTGTTGAACTCAATTCTTCCAGTGTTTCGCAGCAGAGGAAAATCTTTGATCATCAAAGGAATGGGTAAAGAACACAATGTATTGTCTCCGTTCAACCAGGTAAAATTTGTTCCCCCGCGTTTTGACCCAATGTCACACTTGGATACGGTAGATCGCTGAAACTCCATACTATCAACTGGTTCAAAAAACTGGCTGATGTTTGGCAACTTATTACTTTTGTCTCCCTCGGCTTCCTCTTGGTCATTTTTGCCAGGGATGTCGTAAGAAGTAGGCTCTGGGGAACTTCTCTCTATTTTTACCTTTACTTCATCAAATGTAGCAGTTCCGTTATCATGTACCATTAAATTCAAAGTATCATTTCCGATTAAATTGTTTTCCTCTTCCTTTCCCAATATCCGCTCGATTGTGAAGTTTTTAGCATTGTCCGAGCGATTGTCGATCTCATCGCTGCTGTCTGATTTGATAAGCATTTTGTTAATGGTTTGTTGTTGATCGTTATACAAATGTGTACCAGTGGCGGGAACTCTGCGGATGTTCTGCACAATTTTTTCATCAGGCGATCTTCGCATTTCCGATGGATCTGGTTCAGATAATCTGGCCTTCTTCGGTTTTGGCGAAGTAGCGAAATCTGCCAACTTATTTACTTGATGGCCTAAGCCTTTTTCAGGCTTCGCTTTCGTGGGAACAGCCGGCGTTAGTTCTGGGCCTAAGTGAAATTTCTCCTTCCTGCTCAAATTGTCGCCAAGACGGCCGAAGATCAAGTCACTGGTAAACATAAATGTCTTGCGGAAAGCTTCCTTGCTAAGGTGAGAATCCTTTGTTAGTTGGATAGATGATTTTTTCGCAGACTTCGACGAGAAGGCAGAATCTAGTAGTGTAAGAACAGATGGCAACTGCTTGCTTATGTTTTCAGCGTTGGCCAAACTCATTGTTCTTTCTTCGTACGCAGGAAGCACGCGACTGCTTGTCTCCTGAACAATGACAAAAATACAGCATTGTTAGGCAAATTAATACGGGTGTTCTTCCAGGGCTAGTTTCTTTCTCCTTGAGAAAAAGACAGCCTGTTCTGGATATCAAACAATGCGAAAGATTTTTCATCAGTGAGTTACGCTCAACATTTTAGGTTACAATGAATTTTAAAATGTATAAATTATTCTCAAGAATTGCGCTATGAAATAATGCACGCATTTTTATTAGATAGAAGTGAAGGGATTTTTTTAGATAATGGCTTAAGCTACTGAAACTGCAACTTGCTCTGAATTAGAAACTTGGCAGAATTATAATCATCATGCGCTAGAAATACTATTTGATAAAATCGTTTGGTTTTTTCACCCAGAAATATGCTATCAGCCGGTTACATTCTAAAATGGTTTTTGCTTTTTCATTTTGTAATTTTGAATAGTTTTGCATAAACCATTCCATCACGTTGACCTATCCTGTCGTGGGTCTTCCGACTAGTATGAGCAAGGTGTTAACCCTAAGGGGGGGGGGAGGTGGGGGATAGGGGCCGTTTATTTAAAAGTTCAAAAGTGGACAAACACAGGTATAGAGCGGAGTTACGGTGGTGTTCAATGAGGATATACACCTCTTCTAAAGTCTCTGGGACTAGGCTCTAAATTTAAGTCAATTTAACGGAACAGCGTTTGGAGTTTTGGAAAGTACCCACTATCTATGTGAAATTAAACCGAGCTCAATAATGCGGTTGGTAAACAGACACAGTTTGACTAAACTTTCTTTAAAAATTGTTTGATCAATAGAAGTTGTAGGATCTATCTGGTTTGTTGAATTCAATCTTTACGCTAGTCTCAAATTGCAAAAATTGGGCATGTTATTTTGCAGGCTGGACTATATTGCTGGAAAATCGTTTTCAGTCCTTTTCGCAAGAAGAGAAGCTACAAAACTGCCCTTGCCAAGGAGCTACAAGCATGGGTCAAGAAGCCTGATTGAAATTTGAGAAAAAATTCTTTGAAAAAATCAATTAAGTAAAGCAATGCTGATTGTCCCTATTAATTTCTTTTCATGTGCAAGGGAAAACAACAATTTTATGAACAGAAGAAATGCGACCTTGCGTAGATTTCTCTATTCCAGTTTCCTTTCATAGTCTTTTTACTATAAAAGCAATGTTGCTAAGATCGTTATTTTTCCCTGATTCCTCAACCGCGTCAGTTTTAGGCAAAACTGAGATCAAATCTTACTCCTTCGATCTTTTTTGACATCTTCACTTAGATGCACGAAGATAATAATTGCAGAGGAATTCCGAAGTAAACAGTGAAAACCCGCGTGCAAGAACCTACTTTTTCCAGAGTATCGCAAAACAGGTTCTTGTATTATTGGGTATTTGTTGACAGTCTAGGCTTAATGGGTTCTTAGTTTAGTTATTAATTTCTACAGAGTGGATATTGGTGTTGATTATCAGAAAATAGTATTAAATCTTGTCTTTTATTTATTCTAAATATTTATTCGCGTACCAATATTGCCAAAAGCCCACCAACAATCAATGATACAGTGATGTTTATAAAATAGTAGAAATAATTTTTTCGTAATAACAATTCAAATTTAACATAAATTGTGCATTTTTATTTTAACAATTTAATTTTCTGTCATATAATTGGTTTTTGGTAACAAAGTTTATAGATTAAATGGCTAAACCCCACATATAAGAACCTGTTGGAAAATGTTTGACTAAACAAGTTCTAATGTTTTGGAGCATTAAAAAAGCAAATTTCTGCACCAAGATTCTTAAGTCCTAGGTTCTTACACACGGGTTTTCACTGTATTATAAACTGTTGTCTGAAAGTTGAAAAGCTCACATGCAGGTAAACCAATGGTCGAATGCAAAGATAGGTGGATCATTTGGGAAAAATTTTGGGTAATAAACATCAGGTAGGGACTGAACTAATGAAGGAGGGACTTCAACGGAATTTAGTACTCGAGCAAATCTTTAGGTTTTATCAAAAAGTGTGTAATTTTGACAATCCCTTTGGTCTATGAGTACTATAGATCTCAAGTTTGATAGTTTATTGCGGTTATCTCTAATACATCATATTATGTATCCTTTTATCATGGTATTGCCGATCCCATAATCCAATCAACCATTATCGTTGTCGGAATTCTCTCTTTTCGTCTTATTGATTTATTGTTTCTGTTAGCTTAATTTGCTGTAAATGGAGTGGAAATGGAGTTTCTTTTTTACTTTTACTTACGTTTAGGAAAATATTTATTTTTAAGTAATGTCTGAAAGACCGGATATTATTTGTTTTTGTTTTATGAATTTGCAAAATTGCACGATTCCTGTGACGTAACGCCAATTTGTATCTTGTTACCATCTTTTGTTTTTTTCACGGCCCATCAATTAAAAGTTTACACTTCAAAGGTACCTGCATATTACCTCGTCTAGGATTCAGAGATTCGTGCCCTTATTAAAATTCTAGTAGCTATCTCTTCCATACAATAGAAAAGAGTCTTTTTTCTGAATGCACAGCATTTCATCGTAAAGTCTGTTGATTAGGGTACAAGAACGTGTTGCTCAGTAAATTGCTTACGAATCAATTTACATGCGTGTAGGCTATTTAATTTTGTAAATGATTCATTGCAAGCAACAGAATTCACGTTATTGTGATCCTAAAAATTAATCACCTGTGCAACACCTTTTGTCTTTGTTGAGAATGCTGAAAATATCTGCCCGATATCAACGATATCATAGATATCAACACAAAGTAGAAGTTGTGCAAGCTATCTGCTGTACAAATATTGAGACAATACAGCTGTAATAACTTAGCTTTAATTAGCATTTAAAAATTGGGCCATTCAAAGACAAATCAGAGATGTTTTTTGATAAAAGCCAAATTTATCGTTTGTCATCTATTTAAAAGGTTTTCTTATATCTCGAATGAACAATTGTCTGGATAAGAAATGTTGAACGAAACTAAATTGTTCATTGTAGGAGTTGATTCGAGTTCTATCAAAGCCCGCCAAAATCAATTTTATGCTGACGTTATCCTATTTCCTAAGACATTTTCGATTTTCAAGAATTTGAGGAGAAGAAAAAAATGATCGTGTGAAAGAACAGTCAGCTTGAACATTAGTTTGTTTGAAATCATGTCATTCACTACTGGGCGTTATCAGTAGTCTTTCCTCAATAAAGCAAATTCAATCTATTTTTCATAATAAAACAGGTAGATGGTAGATAAGGCCCAAATGAGAATCTCCCATTAGATCTATGGAAAAAGCATACAAACGATGTATTTTTATAGAATGTCTTTACGTCAAAGTTGTATTTAATGTTTGCTCTAATACTATTTGAAAAATTGACAAGCGAGAGTGTAAGTTAGTACCAAATGAATGGACAAGTACCAATTTAATGCAATTTCGTGAAAAAGCATCCTAAAATCTTTACCAACCCCTCTTATTTTGCAGCTTTTCTATACGAAAATTGAATTTATTGTTTAAATATTAAAGTAGTTTTCTGAAATTGCGTCTTTCTACATTGAAAATGTAAATATTGTTATGACGTTTTCAGCATAACTCTTCATCAAGTGACCTTGATGCCCTTCTTCAGACCTGATGAAGAGTTATGCTCGAAATGTCGTAACAATAGTCAACTTTTCATGTACAAAGTCGCAATTCTGGTTATATTGATTGGTATTTATCTCTTTCAACGTACAATGCACGAAAGCACATTGATTATTAAACCGACCCTTTAAATGTGCTTGTCTTTTGCAATGGCCAATTGTTAGAACAAAGACTATTGGTAGAACAAAAACTATTGTCTTACTTATAATTCATGAAATGTTTACTGTTGTATCGATTCTAATTTCCAACTTCGTTCTATAAACATTATATTGTTTGGAAGTCACAGCTTCAATGTATATTTGATGTTTTCGCTTTGATAAATAAACAAATTTTTTAAATGCAGGTTTACATCCGAAGACCTTTCTATTTGTAATCAAATCTGCTTCTGAACGAATTTTGAATGCCCATTAGTTTAAAAACTTTGCCATGGCTTTCCACATTATGACAATATTGTAAGTCGTTTGGAAGCCTGTTTAAATTCATTACGTAAGAATAGCTATTTTTGTTAGAAAATTTACCGCAATATCACTGTTGGCACAGGTCCGTTGGAAGTATTTGTGCAATTTCTTCTTAAAACCTCTGTTTGCTAAAATTCATAAGTAAATACCTTATATAAAGCAGAGCTTGACTTCCTGTCCATGAAAATTTAATGACCAAAGTATTTTGTCTTACTCTGGTTTGATTCTCAAGTAATTCTTCAAAATCTACTTCCAACATAAATTTCAACTCGAAAAAATTTACAACGTTGCTATCCTGTTTGTTATACTGTTCTATACTAAACTCTAAGATTTTAAGCTCTATGCTAAAATATTAAACGTCTCTTTACAACACATTTGTTAATTCATGTTAACGTTCTTTATCTACAATGAAATATTACTGAAGATCATTCCAGGTAAAGGGAATTCTGCATTTTCTGGTTATTTCTACTTTAACACTGCTAGATAAAATTTTTGAAATTTTCAAATAATAGAATTGTGCAATTTTTGACTAATTGAACCTGTAGACCGGGGGTATAATACTATTTCCATTCTTATAAAAAAATTGGTATTTTCTAAACCAAAACTTTTCATCTTTTTGCAATTTATGATAAATGTCGGATAGCTGAAAACATATTAGATTTTGGAACAAATCTAAAACCGTTTTTACTAGATACGGTCAAAAACGAACAAAATGTTGATGTTCTTGAAAATCGTTTTGAAAAGTCCGAAGTAACTCTAAGCCTGTAAATTCTCGTCATTGAAGTCCGTGACATTTAAGTGTACCTGCCCTGTTCTTATCCAAAATAAAATCATTTCAATTAAAAACGAAATCGATGTCATTGACAAATTCATAGCTCCTTTTCAACGTTAGATAAGATAGCATTGTAGAGTAGCAGGTGATCCTGTTTTCTGATGTATTACCCATTACTGTTAATGACTGTTTCTATCAAATTAACAAGTAATTGAATGTTTCTATTGATTAATAAATTTCAAGACTGTCCACGCTAATTGCTATTACATTGATCAACTTGGTACAATGTCAAATAAAACGGCTAGTCCTAAAGCATTTAATTATGGTAATTATAATGATCTGACATCAGTTGTGAAGTCAATAATTTGGCGGCAGTCACTGTATTACTTAAGTGTACAGCTCAGCTCTTCAGAAGAATCGTTATCATAATAGTAATTGAATTGCAAGAGTCTGCTGTAATTTTGAAAAAATTACGTTATCTAATTATCAAAAAACACAATTTTTGTTGAAACATTGTTGGTATTGCGTAATCAGGTAGCTGCTTTTTAGTTTAATTTAATTTCCAAATTATCTGAATACGTATATCTGTTGGTTGTTTTACTTAGCTTGCGGTTCAAATCTTGTTATAGTGTAGTTGTAATCAAAGCGTTAATGTCAGATTTTTTACACGCCAAACACTCGTCAAGTTGAAATGGTTTCACGTACGGCATAAATAATAGATAATGAATTACCTAAAATGACATGCTTTTCTCGTGGCACTGTACAGTTTTCATGGTGTCATTAATTTGGCACTTTAAGGATCTTTTTGGAACTATACATCATGCTTAAGCGAGCTGTTTATGAAATCTAGGATTCGGAAGCTTACTCGCAGGGGTCCTTCTTCCGACAAATCTAGGTCTTGAAATCTCAGTTGATCACAATTTGTAGAAATTTGCATAAGTAAACATCCGTATCATTGCAAGCATTAACGCAACAGTTGTCAAGAAAAGCAAGCGCTTTGCGTTTGATACGAATGATAATATTGGCTACGTGAAATCGTTTTAAAGCTTTCTCTTTATATTTCGTGTGATACTTGACAGATTAACTTTTCAGGTGAAGGAACATAGAGAATAGAACCTTCTTTCTCATACCTAAGCTGCAGATTAAGCTGCAAAAATGACATATGATGAATTGTGCGCAAGAGAGATTCTATTTGGTGCTTGCATGTTGTTGCAAAGTTTCTATAAGATTTACAAGACGTAACGTGACTTTGATGATTACTTTTTACAAACAGTAATCAATTTCTTCAATTTTGCTTTTTTGTCTACTCATTTGCAGTTATTACATTGAAAGAACTTCTTACTACAGGTGTTATACTTTCTTACAAGATCTGTTTGACTGTTTATCTTTGTGCCAGATTTTTCGTCAAGAATACACAGGAATTCTTGAAAACGATGATCTTGCAAAAATTGACAGTTTGTTTATTTATAGATAAACAGAAGATCAAATTTGCCAAAAAGTAAATTTTAAATGTTGATAGAACTTTCCTACAACCACCTTTATCCTATAAACTATGCTGTTCTTTCTTAATGAGCTCTGATATTGCTCTGATGGCAAACTAGCTGCAAAGAAGGTGAAGAAAAATACATTGCTCTTTATCATTCTTGTTGAAAAATGAATCACTTTTGTATTTCCATTCAAAAAAAGCAGTTGATATCGGTAAAACTATTCTTCGTAAAATTTGTATCTGGCATGTGTTTGCCATAGATTGTAATCATCAAGCAAGGAAAGATAGATGGCATACCTCAGGCTGCACAAAATGCAGATGTTTTTTGGTTGCTTGTCCGAAAATATCTTGAGGTCTTTTGAGATTCTACCTGCACTTGAGTGCTCTGTTGAGGTAGTTCTACAACTAAAGTTGTTGTGGAAAATTAGCAAGCCTTCTGCACCTGTGTTTGTTAAAGCATCACTTTCTATGTGACTAGAGCGAAACAACTCGATTCGATCATAACCACGCGTACTGGCATGCTTTCATTCCCATACAACAATTGGCTGTCTAAAAAGCGATTCATTGTTAGCGATCAACTCAAAACAATGGTCTTATCAAATTAAACAAAGAGCTTTTCAACATGCTGTTTATCTTCTGGACAGGTGGTATTGTGGTCTATGCTCTTAGGGCTGTTTTGCGTATATTTTTGCGGCCACCAGCCCGGAAATCCTTACGCGGCCACTTCTAACGATACTGTATGCACAGTTGATGTTGCAGTAGCCCAGATCAACGGTGTCTTTTGCCTGTCTTTTCAAGTGTATTTTGTAAAGATAAGATTTTATTTGTAGTATTTGCATTGGGAACTATGCTTTGGAAATTGCCATTTTGTTCCAAGTCAGACATACGGTGTAAGCAAACTGTTGTGATACTTTATTTGATAATCGGTTTTCACTTACAAGCTCTTCTAGAGAGGGGATTGCAGATTTCCTTGATAATAGCGTTACATCAAGAACTTTTTCCATAAAAATGCATTTGATTCAAGAGATACCCGCGATGTACGGTACTTGATTTTACGTTAAGGCGCAGTCAAAAATCCCACATTGGATGTTTTTTCATTCATACCAAGTCCTTGCATATAAGCATAATCTTTGGTGGCATTTATGAAGTTCCCACATCCCAAAAAATGTCATTGCTTTTTTCTTAATAAACATTATACATACTAACATGTCTTTCATCTAATTTTGCTTTTTGCTTATAAGTTTTCATGGAACTTTTTCTAAATTTTTGCTTTACAGATTTTCTGCATGTTTCATTAGCATGTTACATTGTATGCGATGTTTTTGTTATTGTCTGACCTCAGTCTCCCTTGATTAGGATTCTTAAAAGCAGGGGCCGTGATCAGAGCAGCTAACGGGCTAGCGCCGCCACTCATTGCCTGGTGGTTATGTGTACAGCAGATGAAGCTTCAAACGCTGATCTCTGAGTTTGTACACAATTCATTATTTCTGTTGGCAAAAGACCTGCTCCAAACGAGAGTTTCTATTGTTCTATTCCTTACACGTTGAATGAATGAACGAGGACCATGCTACAGCATTTTCACCTGCAGTTCGTTATCTCTGCCATTCTTTTAGGCCACTGGCTGTGACCACGTGTGTGAATTGATCAAAACAATCTTTGTTGAGCGACGAACGCAACTTGTAGGCGTGAAGACGGGATTTTACCTGTAAACCCACATGTCTTTCAATCAGAAACGGTCACCAATCTTTCTTTCTTTCAATTACAGTACTTAACTGTCTGAGACACTTAAATCCTGTCAATTTGCTATTTATTGGATCTGATACATAATATGTTGTTACAGAAATTTTCTTATGCCTCTTGATGTATATCAGCAAACATATTGTTAAAGAGTTTAGCTAGGAAAAATTCCAAGAAAATAAAGATTTATTCAAACGCAACAGTCCAGAAAAAGTAGACTTGAAACACTGCTAGTTTTTCGAAATATGTTATTTTGTATGTCGACGACTTTTTAACAGGCAAACGTCTCCGAAGGATAATTCCTGTATACTATTGCAATTTTCCTGCTTTTAAATATAATTTATTTGATTAAAGTTTAAATTTATATCTCTTACATCTTAATATCTCGATGCCAATATTTGTGCAGAAGGCTACTTTCGCACTGCTTTTGCTTTTGGGAAAGTGATACTATGCTTTCCTATCAAATATCACTCATCTCGCATTGTTCAAGCAGAGACGGCATGTTCCAACGTCGTTTCCTACAACCCACGAGAGCTATTTTTTCATCAATAAGTAATGTTTTATCCTTTTCAATAAAAAGCACTAAGGTCTGTGATCCTAAGTCTCTATCGTTAATATTTTATAAAGCATTTGTTACTCATCCTTAGTCTTGGAACAATAGAAGAAGAAGATCGTTTGAGTAAGCTAAGTAAGGCCTCCTTTATTATCAAATGCTAGTCCTTTTGCTCACCAGGTAATGCATACTTCATTGCTTCACTGCCGTGCTAATGCTATCCTTCCTTAAAGTTCTCTTTATGCATGACCCCGATTAGGAGGACATTGGCCTGATAACAAAAATAGGCCTTATCGTATCTTTAAGTTTTCTACGCTAAAAAGAACCATGCAATTTCAAATAACATCAGCTTTCATTTTATCCATTTAGTATAATACACAAAACTCCTTCAGCTATTTATCCATAAACACAATACGCCTTCAGCTACAACTTCAGTAACTCTAGTGATTTTAAAAGAAAATGTTGAAAAGATCTAGCTGATTGGCATTGAGTTTAACGGGTCTGACGTAACTTGATGAAACTTTAATCGATATTTCTTGAAAATGATTTATCTGCTCCTAATAAAATGCGAGATATTGGCATTTTCAGATAAGGTTTTGATTGAAAATAATGTAATCTATTTTCTCAAATTAAGATGTTACAACTTGCTAATTTGCATTAAATGAAATTGAATTTTGATCCAAGAACTCATGTTTGATGTCATGGTGACTCCAGGCCACTTGATTTAAAATAACGACGTGACTGCACACATGGGACTATGCACAAGCTTTAATAAATCGCGTATTACTAGAAGAGTTTAGCTAGCACCTTATTACATTGTTTGTCTCTTTGGTATTCAAATGAAGCCCGGATAAGTCAAGGGATTGACAATAGACGATTTCTTTGCACTTACTGTTGAATTTGAAACCTGTAGAGTACTGAAAAAAGGAAGCCAAAAATGTATAAACACCTGTCTGATGTTTGAGCACCTCTACAAATTTACATTTCACTTGTAAAAGCTCATAATCTAGTCAGTGCTTTAAAGTATTGCTCAATGTCCAATTTTTAAATGTGTAAACAATTGAGTGGACTGCAGAAAAGAACAGTACATGCGCTCCTGATAACTCGAATTTCACTATCTCGAACTGTTTTTGCATCTCCAATTCAAACTTCTCCAATACGTGCGAACCTCCGATTGATCGAGATTTATTTGCCATAAACTGTTTTTGCATTCCCAATTCAAACTTCCCCAATACGGTCGAACATAGCTACGATTGTTCGTGAATTTTTTGCCAGAAACTGTTTTTGCATTCCCAATTCAAACTTCCCCAATACGGTCGAACCTAGCTACGATTGCTCGAGAATTTTTTGCCATAAACTGTTTTTGCATCCCTGTTTCAAATTTCCCACATCTCAATTAGATGTCATGCCTTTGTTCGAGAAGCAATCACATCTCCAAATTGGTCTCCCGTTTTCATGCTTTGCTAGCGCAATCGTAATTTCAAGTCATTGCATAATCTCGTTGATCTCATGAATTACATCTTTATTAATTGTTTGTATTCTCCACAACAAAGAGATAATTATGATTTGCTAAAATTTGTGATAACCAGACATATAAAGTCAGTAAAATGACCCGATGACAATATTCTGTTATTATTTATATGCATTTATAAAAGCGATATGTAATAAATGTAATAAAAATGTACATAATAAGTAAACGTAATAAAAACGTGAATTCTACAACTGTTGTACTGTAAAGTTACTCCTGCGATATTCTGTCGAATATCTACAAACCAACCATTAGCTGATAAAAATTTCAATCAATATTTTTTATAAACGGATATTTAAGACACAATTATGGAAAATTAAAGCATCTATTTCAGTCTGTATCGTTTTGCTTGTGTCTTATGATTAATAGAAAAATGAAATTATTTCAGAGCCTTTGTGACATAGGCTCTTACCAAGAACCAAAAGTTAAGCTGCTCAGCAACTTCCAAAATTTGCAAACTAATATTATTTACAATACTACACAAGCTAATGTAATTATTACACTGCAATGCATTGTCATCTTGAGAACATATTGCATCCAAATAACTATTTACATAAGCATTACTATATACAAGCTTTGAATGGTTTTTTGCTTCCAAGCAGCACATGTTTTACTCGAAACGAAGAATGCGGAAATATTAAGTGGCATACAAAAGCCACTGTGATTCACGAACGCTAACTTTTATACGTAAGAGTCACTTTCGTAACCAACGTTCATATTCCCTTGGTGATCACGTGACCACATCTCAACATCACGTGACATGGCCTGTCCTCTTGAAGTTCGTCTATTCTGCGTTCCACCGTTTGAGACTCTGGTGACGCTCTTTCGCCTTACTTGAATGCTGTTCTTTCTCTGGTCACCTCTTTGATCAAGGTAATCTTGACTCCGAGATATGTCGCGGCTAGGTCTGCGATACCGTTTACTTTGCCGCGTTACTGCGTAACCTGAATCTGTCGAGTCCGATTCATAGCCAAGAAAGTGAGTGGAGCTTCGTCTTGAAGGTGTGACGTCACCATATTCATGGTTGTTTGTATTGCTGTCTGCGAAAATTGATGTGAAGGGTTGTTGCAGCGACTTTCGACGCGCTGTTCTTGAAACCCTCCGTTGCGGACTCTGCTGTAGTGCGGCTGACGCTCTCCTGTTGGAAATAGAGACCCTACGTGAGCCCCCATTGTCGCCATTCAGACTGTAATCGCTGTAATTGTGTGCGTCTGGGTGGAAGGCCGTAGAAGCTCTTTTCGATGACACTGATACTCTACTGATCCTTCTTTGAGTAGGAACATCAGACTGAATGTCACGATATGCTTGTCCTCTGTCGTGATTAGCAACACTTGCCCTAAAAGTTTCAGCAAGGCAATAAGTAAGACATTAAGAAGGAAGGACTTAAATACTGCTCTCTAAAAAGGTAGGATTGATTTATCACCTGGATTGAAGTTTGTTACTTACAAAGTCAAATTTGCTTCATAAATCATGAAAAACAATTTGCATTATTTATCCCAAGAATACTTGAAAATTTGATTTAACTAACGAGAATGCATCTGGCGTTAAATAAAAAAGTTAAATATTTGAATGTATCTGGTGATTTTCCGCATTAGCATGAGCGTTGATTGGAATGAATTTTTATTTTAAACCCTATATTAGGAAGACATCAAGTATGCTGGACTGAAAGCTATAAGACGAAAACTTGAATTAAGATCGAGTTATATGTTAAGTGACTGTTCATGGTCGAATGCCTTGCATGACAAATCTGCTTAAAGAGTCTGAGCGCAATAGAGGATTATAAATAGGTTATTAATTAAATATATGCCTTAAACAACAGAATCATTTGAAGGGAAATTTTGTTAGAAGTTGGAATCTGTGACAAAAACTTGATATTTGCTGTCACGATTTCTCTTCAAGAAAATACACCTTATCTCGAACTTAACGATTTTCGGTTTGAAATGGTAAGAGAGACGTACCAAGGTACCATCATAAGAATAGCATGATAATCTAGTCTTTTAGAGCCCTTTAAGAGTCTCATGGAAGATAGGGAGAAGCTTCTAGGAAAGGCTAAACAATTTCTAGATTCTGCACAAATGCAAAAGACATCCTTAATGTTGATAAAGCATAAATTGCAATCGCAGCTTTGCAAACAAAGAAAAAAATGCTGGTTGAAATTCTAGGTGAATTAGTTGTAAGTGATGTGAGCCAAGAAGAAGGTGATGTAAGCAAAGCCAGCTGCAAAAGATTATAGAAATAGCTTGGCGGTGGAGGAAGAGGTGATTTCCCAGTACTGCTTTAAAGCATGTAATATATTGAATCTACATTATCTTAAACTTAATGATATTAGGAAGCTGGTCCTTGAAACCTGTTTTGTGTTCTAATTAGGTTTTTTTATTGATTTTTAACCTGAAATCTGCAAAACTTCGGATTTTTACTTAGCGTCTGTTATTTCGAATATTTGCTATCTCGAACAAATTTCGATTTCCCTCGAGAATTCTTGATAGCGGATGTCAACTGTTATTTAAACCCTCAATTCAAGCACATACCTGCGACCGATAACAATATCGGTGTCATCCATGACGTCTCTGTGTGCAGTACTTGAATGCCCATTGGAGACACGCGACACTCTTCGGATTGTTTGCGTCTCTTGCGCAGCTCTTTGCCAGGGTGGTAGATCCCGAATGGTCCCATCTTCTGTCATTTTCAGTCGAATGGGCGCCTCGTCAACCAATGAACCATCACTAGAAACGATTTGCACAGCAGATGCACGTCTCATATTTCCATTACTTCGAGAGTTTCTTATTATGACGCGACTCTCTCTTCTTCCTTGATAGCTGTTTTCATCTAGAGAAAGCAAGGAGGCCAATTTTATATACTAGTTGGCATTGATCAAGGTTGCTTGGAAATTTCAAATTTTACTCCATGACATCAACTGTTCATTTCTTCAGAGTATCAGTGTAGCACATAGAACGAATGTATTATTGATGGAAGACCTGTATACTTGACCCAAGAAAAATGCTATATCTTCATGTAAGGAAGAGTTATTTACATGAGTTTATGATTATATTTGACTGTCGACAATCGAGTCCTACAAGATTAAAGGTTCAGTCTTAAAAAAGATTCCAATCTTGTCCTCTGTTTGAAATTCTTCTTCTTTGAACCTTTAGTAAAAATGAATGAAATTGTCAGTAGGTAACAGAGCAACGTTCCCAGCTTTAGAAGAGAAAGCAAAGTAACTTGCCCATTTCATCGTTGTCTAAAAGCATCACTTGACTACCACGCCTAATTTCACTCGACATGAAATTATTATTATTATTGATTTCATGCAATCCAATGTCGCCCACGGATGTGACTGATTGTCTTGGTAAAACCAGGCGCACAGGCCGTGTGACGCTCACTCGTCGACCTAAAATTGAAGACTGGAATTTTAACGCTCATCGCTTCATCAAAGCAGTAGTTATAGCTTGCTTATACTTTGAAAACTAGATTGGGTTAATGCAGCAAGATAAGCAAATATTCCCTATAGACAATCTTGATGCAATACTCTAGTGTCTCTACCAGCCGCCCCCCCCCGTGTATTAATTTCAGAAAAAATTGTCCTCCCTTGTCGCTTATTAGCACCCCCCTTCTATTAAATTTTACAGATCAAGTCATTTCATTTTCATTATTCGTTGTTTTTCATAGTTTTTTGCAAAATCTCAACCGTAGAAAGGAAACCAATGATTTTTGGCTTGGAAGTTAAAAGCTGTTAATATGATTTATCTTTGTATGATTGCAATTTTCTCTAAAACTATGCAAGAAACTGAAACCAAATTTTGACAGTATGTTCTAAAAGGTGCCTCAATTTTAAAAAAGGATTACCGACATTAACACTCCCTTCTATTAGCACCCCCTTCTAATGAAAACTGGTTGACATGAACATCCCCCTTCTATTAGCACCCCCTTCTATTGAAACTTGGCCAGAATGAAAACCCCACTTCTATTACTTTCCCCCTTCTATTAGAGACACTAGAGTATACGTCTTGTTGTTTACAGAGGTGTGCCAGTTAATCAAAAGTTGGCTCTTGCAGAACTAGCATTGGTGAAAGCAGGAGATTGATAGCCAAAAGGTCAAATGGAAAATTGCTACATGCTTCTCCTTCTTTTCTCTTTGTGTAATTATATGGTTTATTCGTGTTCTGTTGAAACGAGTGCTATAATTGCGCAAGAATATTCATTAAATCAGTGTTTGAGCCATCAGGTACCTATATTCGCGACATCTTCCTTTGTTAATAGTGTCATCGGAAAGAAATTCATACTGTAACAGAAATAACCTCTATTAATGTAATTTGACAATTTATTTTCCGTAGTTTTCTTTAAAAGTATAATTGAATGTATGAACTCTTAATCTTTCTTAGTTTTTAATCTTTATCTAGTAAACTGATATTTTAGTAAAAAAGCGAGTTTTTCCGAGATAGAAAAAACGTGACAAGAACGTCTTCATTCTGTGTTTCAACTCTTCGAGGGGAATCCTATGATGGTGCATGTAACAATAAAAAAAGATCTATACACTGTTGTTAAGGAAACATAATTCCTGTAGCAATTTCTGGCTGGGAGAAGGGACTACATCACCCGGCTCCGGACAGCCCTGGTAAAAGTTGTAGCGAGTTCACACAAAATTTTCTTACCTTCTGCTGCCTCCCTTGCACCCTCAGAAAATCTTCTCTCTGCAGAGTTTTCTGAATGGCTTGTCATAACTGAGGATCTTCTAACCTCTCGTGCCTCTGCATTGGGTTCTGAATATACATTTGGTACTGTAGGTAAAGACAGGCCATTCTCTCTAGCAAAAGTTGCCTCGTTTCCTGATTCAGAAAATCTACTATAAGATTCCTCTGATAGCGAGCTTTGTTGTGTGCTCGGCAAGTCACTTGCAGACATAATTTCTTCACTGATCAAATTCCTTGTTGATGATATACTCGACTCGTCTTCTGATGGCATAGTTGTTGGCTCTTCCTGTAAATAAAATTGGTCGTTCGGTTAAGTTTACAGATATGGCAAAAGAAAATGCCAGCTTGTGCCTAAGGATCCCTGGATCAAAAGACGCAGGAATGGCAAGGTATTTGTGACAGTGAAATCCATTTTGAAGGCCTAATTAGTCAATAAACGACTGCATGTAGATTCATATACCACATTGATAACTTACATGGATGACATTTTAGCAATCAATTCACTAAACAGACAGATAATTAGTTATCTGGTTAGTTTTCATTTTTAATAACGTGTGTGAGGGTAAATTTTCTAGCACGCCTGCTTTCTGCTCAGTTAATGGACATAAATTTGATCTATTTTGTCTGCACATTAGAGAAAATCATAGAGTTTCTCATTAAATATCGTCAAGGGCTGGCTTGAGCCCCTTGGCAAAAATTGAAATAAGTACTGCTAAGTACTTTTTTCATTATACGAGTTCATTATTTGCATGGTTTTCAAGGGGCAATGCACCTAATCTGTGCTTAATTGACATCAATTAGCTAGGTTATTGTGATTCTCTTGCTCTATCCAGAAACGTGAAGCCTTTCATACTGACCCGAGGCTCTTCAAAAGGCATTGGCGCCACTCCGCTGCTTACTGGCTCTTCATCAGCTGGGAGAGGGGCACTTCCTTGTGCTGGTGCCTCCTCGTCAAGATTGTCATCAATGTCATTTGTCATTGGAGCCAATCCACTGCTTACTGGCTCTTCATCAGCTGGAAGAGGGGCACTTCCTTGTGCTTGTGCCTCCTCATCAAAACTGTCATCTATGCTGTTGGTGGATGCTCCTTGCGTAGTGAAGTAGTCTGGTGCGGTGTAATAAATCGGCATTGCTTCCTGCTCCATTTTTGCCTCATCTTCTTCGATTTTTGATGGAAGAGAGTCTACATACAAATAATAAATGTCAGAAAAGCTCATGAACTCTCTGAAGAAACAACGCACTCAGGAATGACAGAGATCATTTTCACGGTAGACCTTAGGCGTTTTATCCTAGCACTAGATGGAACAAATGTATCTATCTGTCGTACATTTTGGCCATGTTATGAATGATTGGCTCTTTTCAACCTTAAAAATGGCTTAAAGCTTTGTGAATAACAGTTTCCCCTAGTTGTTTGACTGTTTTGAGTAGTTTCACATTGCAAGCTATAAAACCAGCATTTACTGTTTCCATGTACTTATATCTCTCTTGAAATGTACCGCCAATCAAGAATGCTGTCATATCCATTCCATAGCATACATACCTGGTTCTGATCCTGAGTTAGCCATTACACCACTGTCTCCGTCATCAGGTGCAGCTTCCATTCCAAACTTATCTTCAGTAGCTTCAGGGACAGTCCTGGCATTGCTAAGAACACCTTGCTCAACATCATCGGGTACCAACACTTCTTCGTCAAGTGATGCGTACTTCCCACCAGGAATGCAGCATTTTCCACATAAAGTTCTGCAGCAAACACAGTGTTTCTCTACACAGCCAACGCAGCACCCTGCACAGCACCGAGGTATGCATATCCAACAACACCAGCAGAGCAGTATCAGAATTGCAAGGATCAAAAGCAGGATGAGAATCCAGAAAGGGAAATCAAAATCAGAAGACTTTGGAGGTACAATAAGAGGAACAAACGTGCCATTTGAGCAAGAGGAATAATCTTCATCGACTTTTACTACATCGAAATCGCTCTTCATATACTGGTAAAATGCTTTGTTTATGCTGCCATTTTGGTAGATGAAACTTTCACGAAATGATTGGACAGTCTCATTTTGGCAGTTCTTAATTGTGAGGTTTCTCGTTCCCCAAACGATAACAGTGTAATTGTTGAGAGAAGATGTATAATTTGCAGTCGTGTTATGAACATACATGTTCTGAATGAAAACATCAGAAGTATTGATATTGAGGTAGCTGGAAACAAGCGCTACAAATCGTTGAATTTTCGTACAATTGGCTTTTATGGACTGATATGAATTTGCAAAATACATTCGTATTGTATAACTGAGATATTCCTGATGAGAACTCATTACTACGGAGAATGAATCTCTTACTGTCTTTCCGCAGGCATCACGAACAACAATATCATACCTCTTGTTTGAATTTGTCCACTTGGAATCTTGAAGTTGGGACAGAAGGACTAGGCCGCAAATATATTGTTGCTCAACTCGAATCCAATGGCTGGATGTTACAACTCTATTTTGACTGTCTGTGATGAATATTGTTAGATTCTTTGTATACCCATCTTCAAGGTCATAGTATTGGTTATTGTGGATGTAGCTGCTGAAAAACTGACCACCCTGTAAATTAATGTTCCCTCTTTTTATTAAAATTTGCGGTGTGCTCGTCTTGTTACATACACCATATCTCATATACACAACTTTCTCGACTGTGAATTCTTGACCTATAGTTTGTCTAAACTCCTGGATATTGGCCAAACGATTTTCTACATGTTTTATGTAGAAGCAGTTGCAAGTGGCTGTTTCCATTCTACAGAAACTCCAAGAGAAAGTGAAAGTGTTTCCTGCTCGTATAAATGAGATGTCGTTGATGGCAGAGTCACTGAAAAATTGAGCAATTCTTTGGATAAGCATGATTTCAATATCAATGTTCGACTTATGGTAGTTCGCAGCTAAACGTCCATTCATTGTGAGTTTGTATGTGATTTCAGTGCTGCCTCTTATTGAAGCAGTAACTGGGCTTGAGGCTTGATTTCCTTGAATGTCCTTCGCAACAAGGATATACTGATATGTACTTTGAAACGCTGATTTAGAAGGATACCGGGGGTAGCCATAGACCTGTTGCATTGTTCTATTAAACTGTAGCCAGTGATCTTCAGGTATACGTAAATTATTTGTAGTTAGCATTGAGAGGTGCAAGTTCCTCGTGCTTCCGTCCTCTGGATCGTAAAAAGTATCAACTGGAATCCTGAATTCGAATCTCCTGCATAAGTCGACAGAAATCTCAACTGGCTGGCGACTGACGGGTGGCTCAGGAGAAGAAAAGTTACAATTCTTATAATATTCTGTCAATCGTGGATTGCTGAAATTGGTTTGTAGCCTTGAAACCAAGTTTTGATCTGTGATATTTGTTGATGTGAACAGCTTTAAATGAAGGTAAGTGATATCTGTTTTATTGCATCTGTAATGAATTTCATTACAACTCGACCATTTGATTTTCAAGCTACTCCCAACCTTTGAATAGCTTGAAATGGCGATACGGTAATTTTGGTTTGCTATCTGACTGTACAGGCTTCCTTTGAATTGTGAAATGTAATACACAGCCGGCAAATTTGTATTCACAGTTGCCTCGAATTGAATCTGATAGCCTGGTACACTATTTGGGATGCTAATTGTAATTTTGAAATCCCTGTAGGACGTTTGATTGCATCGATCAAATGCAGTGATTCTAACTTGATACTGTCCGTTGCTCGTTGATCCCATTGGAATGATTTGAAGGAAATTGCCTTGAATCTGGAACGGGTTATCTAATGGCACAGCTGCTCCATTTGTCAACGTCATTGCATAACGAACATTTCCTGGAGATTCTCTATCTTCGAAGTAATTGCGGGAAATATCACGTGAATAGCCTCCACACGACTCAACCACAATGTCAGTCATGGCTGACGAGCTGTTGTTAGGTGGCAAGTCTATTTTATATTTGCTGCTGTTCTGATATGATGTGATGCGAAATGAGCTTGAGATGAATGTTGCAAAGCTGTTCGTATTGCCAACCGATCCCTTAAAGATCGTTTGCTTCGTATTGTATTGTCTGTCAGTGATTTGACATACAAGTTCACCAGTTGAGCAGTTAGAAAACCCGAATTCATAAACTTCAGAGCTACTTTTCTTGACAAATACTGTTCTCCTGTATTGTTCTGAATGCTGACCGAAATACTTCGAAAGTAGCTCCAAGAATTTAATTTGGATGTCCAAGTATGTAGCGTTGCTTCCCAACAAGCTTTGGAATTCGAAAAGATGGCTGTAGTACGACCCTTGCGTCGATTCGGTTGAAATCTGGATCTGCGTTGTTGCAGTTCCGCCACAACTATCACTTACAATCACATTGTAGTATGCGCTTTTGCTTGATCCACTTTCGGCTAATGAATATATTTCAAAGGTTTTTCTATCAAACTGTACCCAAGAATTGCGTGGCAAACTGCTACCATCCATCATCTTTAACTCAACACGTAAATTCTGCATCGTTCCATCCTCCTTGTCAGTTGCAAAATTCACCGGCAAGGCTCGGCGGTAGATGCCACACTTGCCTAGCGTCACCTTGTAGTTTTCTATAAGTATCTTAGGATTTTCATTTCCCGGGGCAGAACCGGATATTTGAATCGAAACTGTACTGTTCGCACTTAGGCCATACTTGTCAGTGGCTTGGAGTGTGTATTGATAAACACCATTGTTGGAGGACTGTGCTTGTCTGCCAGGTGTCCCATAAACAGCTTGTGTGACAGTGTTGAAGGATACCCAATCAGATGCTGTGAGAAAAGTGCCATCCTCATGATACAGTTTCAAGGAGAGGCTTTTTGTATTCCCATCTTCATCGACGAAGGCATTTTCAGGAATTTGCTTTAAAAACGTCGTACATGGTCGAACAATTATCCTTATTACTGTCATGTTAACAGTTGGTGGTTTATTTGGAGATCTTTTGCACCATTCGTTTGATGACACTTTAATTAGTTGAAAATCAGGCATCATTGCTTGCAAGAAGGAAGCCCTGAAAGCAGTTTGTTGGTTGATGCTTTCAAAACATTTTTGTAGTGTTTCACTTCTCGAGTTGGTATATCGCTGCAGCATTTCTGAATTAGAGGCAGCGCTGATCCATGAATACCACTGGCAGTTTGCAAAGGAAACGGACATTTTAACCGGATATTGCTGTTCACGACTGTACGAGATGATCTGGATTTCTTGCACAGTTGATTTCAAATATCCTGCCAGTTTGCTCATGAATTTTTTAATGATGTAGAAATCACTGTACACAGGATTGAAGTGCGTCGTAAAAGTAGCAGTAACTACACAGAGGCTTTTTGATGACGTTCGAAACTTGTCAAAATCCTGAATGTTTAGCGTGAATGATGTAAAGGCTGTATGTCCAGACTCGGGATGCTTTGCATGTAAATCATAAATGCGTTTGCCTATGGTTGTTGATGCCACCACCAGTCCGTAGAATGAGTGATAGCCAGCATCAAAGTGATAGGCAGATGAAGATGATAGAGTGTCACCTTGATAGTACATCGAGAGAAAGAAGTCCTTCGTTGTCCGCCCAGCGTTATCATTGAACGTATCGTCTGGTATTTTGTAGTCAACAAAACCGCAGACATTCTGCCAGTTAAGTACGACGACGCGCGTTGTTACGATTGTCACGCTGGAAGATGGCAGGCATGAAACACCATCCATGTAAATGTTCTTTGGAACAAATGTCCCAGACGCAGCAGATATGAACTGGGTTGCTGGTTCTGAACTATAAATAATTGCTTGCAGTTTTGTTGCCACCTTGACATAGTGCAGTTGACTGCATCCAAGGCTGCACAAGCCAAAAGTAATGCTTTTGCCTGCCGTATGCGATGTAATCATGACGTCATCTCCTCTCGTTGTCCCATAAAGATACCCTGCGATCTTCCTGGACATGCTAGTCAGAACGGTAGCAGTAGGAGTAGTTTCATTAAAATTTGATTCATATGCCATATCAAGCTTGATTGGCAGATGAGGTAAAGCCGATGCAATCTTAATCAGATACGTTATGTTTGCAGACCTCCCAGATGAATCAGTGGCAACAATGCGATACTCATATCCTAAAAAAGGAGCACGCCTTTTTACTTCCTCTGTCACCATACCATAAACCTGCATTTGCTTCTCGTCAAATGTTATCCATTCGTTTGGAGATATTGGCTCACCAGAGGAATACGTTAGGGAATATTTGAGATTTGTTCCATCTCTAGCATCGTTGAACATTGCTTTTGTATGGAAATCCCTGAACTCTCTGCACGTCTGAGCGTAGGTTCTATGCAAAACCCCAATTGTAGGATACGGTGGGTGTTCGATGCATTCGTAGCTTATCTTGATGCTAATGATTTCGAAGAAGGTGGACATAAACTTTGAGAAGGCACTGTTTACTGATCCATCTCTGTTAACTATCTTGGAGAATATGTTATTGATTGTACTCCGGAATGACGCACTGTAACCTTTCTTTGCCTCCTCTTTAGACGAGAATGTAAACGAACAGTTGCTGTATTTCAAAGAGTATGTTTCAGATGTAAGTTTTTTGTACTGAAGTACTTTAATTTTGACTTGATTATCATTGTAGAAGTTGCTTATGACGCGCATTAAATGATAAAGGATACCCAAATCGACAAAATTGATTTTCCCGTATTTTCGCTTAAATACGATTGTAATGGGGCAGTCGTTTGTGTATGGCTCCTCAGAAACTCTAACATCAACTGGCACTGTTCTACTTAAATTCTGACTATTTACACCTGATATATGAAGCTTTGCAACTTTGTTGTGAAGCTGTGCCTCAAAAGTTGGTATCGCATACAACTGAAGTGTTGCAACATTAAGCTGTATCCAGGAAGATGCTGTGACGTATTTCTTTGACTCGTCCAACAGATAGACATTCAAGTTTCTTATGAGTCCCTCCGATGAGTCAGAGAAGAGCGTAGATGGCAATTTTAGAACAGAAACACCACACATATTTACATTGAAGGTAAGTTTAGTGGTCTGTGATGTTGGAGGGGTAGTTGTGCCACTACAGCTTTGATAAAATGAGGCTCTCTGAAGATCAAAGCTGGGCAAGAATCGACTTTTTAAGTTATTGAAAAGTGTTCCTGATTGTAGATAATTCTTCATCTGCTGGAGAGTGCTTGAGGAGCAAGAGGTTTGGTAGCAAGAGGACCATGTGAGTATGGACGAGTGCACATAACCATTGTCTTCTCGATAAGACTTGATAAGCACATCTTGGCCGCTGCTTAAAGAGAAAGCTTCGGCGATTTTTTCGGATAGATATACAGAGTCATTCAGATAGCTTTTAAAGCCGTTGTTTATGAAATAAAAATGAATTTCAAACTTTGGTTCTTGTTGCATCGCCTTCTTGATGTTTATAGTTAGTGTTTGTGTTGTTGATAGCCCAGAGGAATCAGTGGCTACCAGGTAAAATGTTTCTTTCGAGATTCCCTGCTTCCGCTCTTTATCCGTGATCGATAGCAAGATGTTGTTTGAACTCTTGTCGAGATTTATCCAATTCTCAGGATCCGTTATTTCTTTATGGTTTTTGTTAAGAAACTTTAAAGTAAGTTGGTGAGCATCGCCATCTTCAAGGTCGTAATACCAGTTCTTGCCAACTGGAATCTTGGTATTTCCGCAGTCCGTTACGTTGAAAACCAAGCCACTTCTATTGAGGCCGATTATCGGTGGAAAACTGGAGCATTTTCCTGTGAATATCCTCATAACAGAAAGGACAGTTAATCCCTGAAATGCTGATTTGAAACCAGGATGGATAAGGAAAGTGCCCGGCACGAACACTTTTAAAAGGATAAATGAAAGTCCTTTAAAGTCTACATTATTATTCACCACCTGATGTTGCAGATAAGATTTTGTGTAAGGCATATATGTAGACGAGCAGTAGCTCCACGCTATTGTTATCAAGGATGCACTCTCCCTTACAACAGAAACGAGGCCTATCTCACTTGCAGACTTCAACTGAAAATAGGACTGCATCGAAAATACGATTCGTTCTGTTAGATATACATCGTCCATCCCACTGAGAGATCCTTCAGTTTGAAATTTAACCTTGATCTGACAGTCTTTTAACACTTGAAGAGGGCCATTGATGCTTGTATAGATATGCGTTGATGCTCTCAGACCATGCCTATCTGTAGCAGTAAGTATGAATCTTTGTCTTTCCTTGGTTTCGGCGAGTGAAACTGTTGCTGCAAATGTTATTGCAAGTGCAGTACGATTCAGTTGCAGCCATGAGGTTTTGCTCAACGTTTTGTTGGTGCTGTCTGCAATACTCAGTGCTAGATCTTTAGTATAACCATCTTCTTTATCATAAAACACGTGTGCCGGCAATATGTATTTTAAGATTCCACAAACGGATACCATAATTGTTTGAACAGGATGAAGTACCCTTGGTGGCGTGTTAGCATGGCAGTCACTTGTGTTTTCCACACCAAGAAATAGTATCGAGAATTCTGGCTGCATTGCCCTTTTAAAATCACTCGACGCAAATGAACCAGTGAAAAGTCGCGAGTTAACTCGCTCAACTTGACTTACGTTGCATGGATCAAACAAACTGGAACAGTTTATGTAATCAATGCGTCGACTTGTTGAGCCTTGCCTCACGATTTTCTTAACGCCCACACTCGAGCGCAAACCATACCCAAGATAGTTCAACAGCTTGGATTTGAATAAGTATAATTCTGCTAAGTTGTTTTGGAATCCTGATTGGATGTATGCTATTTTGTAAGTGTATGTAGATGGTGGTGCTTCTTGAAAGGCAAACCGAAGCTGCAAAGATGCGTTCATTCCGCTTCTGTCGGTAGCAACTAACTTGTAAAACTGCTGACTTGCACTTTTGTACGCATCAATATCCTCTTGCGTCGGTAGGCCGTACAGCGTCTAAAATAAGAACAGAACAGCAATCGTGTGCTATAAAATTTGGAGTAATCTTGATAGCTACGAATTTCAGTAAGATTTTGTCGGAAAAGTGTAAGTATCTCATCAACATAAAAGTTGTTAAATGTTAATGACTGAGGTTTAGAAGTCATTGTATATTGTAGAGGTATATAGACATGATAAAAGAATAGGGTATACCCAAATAGGCTGAGTCATGATGTTCCTGCTGCAATGCTATTGGTGGGCCTGACACTGGTCACATGATGTTGCCTCGTACTGATTAACAAAAAGCTTCCCAGCAAGTTGTCAACAACAGATGCCGATATCACATGAAACTACAGCGATCACGCCGAAAGCAAATGACCCCTAGAGAGAAGGTCTATATTCCTTGACTAAATGCCTTTTAGTTTCCTCTTGATCTAAGACAAGGCATGAGCGATTAGCTTCAATCGGACCCTAGGGAGTTAACGGTTAATTTTTTAATCTAACATCTTCTGATGAGCTAACAGATTGCCGACTCTTCGTAGGGCACCAGAAATTAAACTTCAAGCTAATTTAAAGAATAGGTTTGCGTATGAAGGTGATTTCTGCAACAATAATCATGAATCTTACCTGAGCAGACACATTCAATTGTACCCAACTGTTTTCCGATATGTGTTTGTTGTCGCTAGTAAATAACTGTAGCTTTAAATTTCGCGTGTTTCCATCTTGCTTATCGTAGAACATATCGGCAGGAACCTTTGTTTGGAACCCTCCACATTGTGTGATCGGAACAAACCACGGATTTATTGAAGGTGCAGGTGGATCAAGTTCTTGCAGACAAATCGGGTCGATAAAAGCTGTAACAGCCCGAATAGTATAGCGTGCGGATAGCATTGCTTTTAATTCAGACTTCGGCGCGCCTTCAGGTGTTACCAACTGCTTCCAGAATGCGGTGAAAGAGGAGTTGTCACATTTTAATGGCAGTGTGCATATACTGGAACGCAACGTAAAGTCTTTGCTGTTAATGACATTGTACGACATCAGGTTTGAAGCGTTTGCCTTAAGGAACAGATTCATAGAATGAACGATAGTGTTTAGTTCTATGATGGGCGCAAGATACTCGTTTCCAATCAGAGAAAGGTGCAGTGTGTACTGATAGTACCGTTGGATAGATCTCTTAGCTATCTTGACAATCATAGAAGTTTCTGCCCACAGATAATGTGAGTCGTAGGCTCTGATTGTAACGTTGTACCCTCTTTCTGGCTCTTCCCTTATTGCTTTATCGGTCACAACACCATAAAGAACATTTTCTCCACCGTTTACGGCCAGCCAACTCTTCGCTATATCTGTTGCCTTCCCATCGATAGTCTGAATGACTAATTGTAGATTGTATCCATCTACTTCATCATAGAATACATCGTAGGGAATTTTGTGAAAGATCACGGAACACGGATTTAGAGTTATAACTGGATACGGCTTGAGAACTCTTGGTGGCTCGGGAGGCTGACATACGGCAGACAGTGATAGCTGAATGTACGAGATGTACATTTCTGGCGCCATAGCTTGTCGAAATTGGGGTTGGGTACCCTTATCGTCGTAAAGCTTACTCTTGATGGCCTGAACACTTTCACTATTGCATGCCTCTTTACCTGTTGTGCAGTTCGAAATCCCAATGCTTACTCCAACGCTGTCTTGGACAACATGCGTGAAACGTATATTGTTTACACTTTCCTGCACATAGGCTGTAAATTTGTCGGCAAAGATACGAAGAATAACTGGGATGGGCGGTTTATTTTCGGCTATCCATGCAAAGTTCACAAGAAATGCAACAGTCGTGTTCTGCGAAGGCTCCATTGAATTCAGCTCAATTGTAGCAAAAGCTGATTCACCCCTTCTTGTTGTTGCATAAAGGTGAAAATAGAACTTTTGGGACTGCCTCGCTCCACGAAAGTGACTGTCGGTTAATACGGCAGTCAGTGTTTGATTCTCAGGAGAGAATGACAACCAGTTAACATTGAGGACTTCCCCTGTTAAATTCCTCATGGTCAGGGTAAGGTGACGTGTGTCACCATCAGTCTCATCTTTGAAAGTATTTGCTGGGATTGTATATGTCAAGTATCCACACCTCTTCAGTTCCAGGGGAGGTATCGGGTTTGCAACATAAACCGCTCTGGACACTCTGAAAAGTATGCTAAAAGCAAAAAAAAGAATATTGATAGAATTAACATGAAACATGGCTGTGAACCCAGCCCTTGCGCAGCAAGATAATTCAACACATCTGGTATACACTTTTACGCTTAGCGAAATGACCAACCTATCAAGGTGTATTGCGTTATCTTGCAACGCCCTTGTTCCTTCATAACAACACACAATGTATGAACACCGAATATCAAACCCCTCCATTTCTTAATGTTTTTTTGCGAAAACGGTGTGAATAAGTATTTAAAAGAGTATATTTAATATCTCAAGACGTCTTCATATTTTTTGCGAGCGATTTTCAGTCTTTTTGAAGAAACCTTAGGCCCCATTTTTAAAGGAGCTCCGCATCTAATCTTAACGTAAGAAGCTGATGCTTTTTCCACTCTCGAAGGATGAAGCTACTGTAATGACATAATAAGATATCTTTTCCTAATGACTTGGTACCACTGCCTACATATGAAATTTTCACAATTTCATACAGGCTTGCAAAGAGTTCTCGCAACAGAAGAAAGATGCAGCCTCGCGTTGCTTTATCTAATGTGACTAACTGTGCCAAAAATTCTCACAGTACCCTAAAAATTTGGATGATAATTTGACTTAATTTCATTTGGTTAGCTTTGCAATGCGAATCCAGGTGGCATAGCTCTAGGATTCAGGAAATCAGTTGGGACCGTTGGGATTCAGAAAGCTGGACACCGCTTAATTCAAAAGCTGGAGACTTTTGTCTCTATGATGGACCAGGGCCAGATTAAGATTAGTGTCATAGCTGCTGTGGCATTAGGCCGGTTGCTGAAATAGGGCCAGATCGAAACACACTAGAACTTTCCTGAAGCTACATAAGATCAATAAAGGATCTTTTTGTGCGGTGCCAAATTGGGGGCTTTGTCCGGCACTTAGACGACGTTATCTTTGATGTTAGGGATATCTCCAGAAATTCTCTATTGAGGGGCTGATCGATTTGATAAGAGGCTAAAAACTTTTTTTTTAAGTTGAAGTTAAGATTGAATCAGCGTTGGTTTGAGGTGTTTTTCTGACGGGGATCTGACATGTCCTACAAGGGGACTAAAGCCATAGGACCCTGGCCTTCCCTAGTGCGAGCCTGCGATGGCTCACAGGTATTGTTGGTATCACTTCTTGGATTGTTGGCTTGCTTGAATGTTGGTATTATTTTTGAAACCAAATGCCAAACAGAGAGATTCATTGCCATAGAAAGCAGTAAGTTAATCAGTATCTTTGCATTTTTTCATTTCTGTTTTTCATTCCTGACAAACTTGAATCTCACGGGTGATTGCATTATTTCCAGCAGTGATTCTTACTCATACTACTCAATTTCTTGTCACATGTCTTGATGAATTCGCTTTCAAACACTATGATACTATTTGGCTCTGGTTGGCTTATAGGAAGACACAGTTGGCTTAATGAATCATTCATAGAATCCTAGATGTTACGCAACAGGTACTTGTTGTCAATTGACTGGAGTCAGAATTACGCATCCAAACAATTCAATGGGGGTCGGATACTACTACTACGTCGATGTAAACAGGAGGATCAACAGAAGTGAAAGCGTAAACAAACTCAGAAAATAAACAAAAACACGCATCTGAAGGAAAATGGAACCAGAAAGTCTCTATTGCTCACAACAAGGTTCCATTTTCCCTTTATTTCAATATGAAAGATTCCGGCTATAATCGCACCAAATGGCATAATGGATGTTTGACTTCAAACGTAGCAAAATTGAATAGTTTGACTTGTTTGGGTCAATCTATTTTGTGACTGTAACATGTAGCGTGATTTTGAGTGAAGTGACTAAACAACGTATCTGCCTTACCTTTACTCTCTTTTGAATTGATAACCCGTCAAATGGACACCAGACAACATTTAAAAACAAACTTTCAATTGTGACTTTCAAGCGTTTTTCAACAGAGTATGTAAAAGCATCTGAAGATGACAACCTGTCTATTTCTGTGGCGTACACACTTCACATGCTAAGTAATTCATATTTGCACTGATTCTTACATATCGATCGAAAAAGTTGCTTTAGAGGCTCAAAGTAGATGAGTTGCAACAATGTAACCGTGGCTGTAAAGGTTGCATGTATTTCAAATTAAAGCAATGATTTTTTCTCTCGTCCAGTTCCTCAATCCACTTTTGAATGTCAATCATACTTCTACTTGTTGTCTTAGGGCTCAAAAGATTGTCTTAGGACCTTTGTACTTTGACAAAGCAGAATTTTTGTTTTCGAAAAGACTTGCAGTTGTTAATCGAAATTCAACGATTAAGGTACTAAAACTTTGTATGTTCACACAGTTTTCGGTTTCTAAAGACCTTTCTGAATTGCATCACTTTAAAAAGGATGCCCCCGAATAGCAGTGGCAATAAGCTTATTTTCCAAGCTGGCTCATTTTCCAAAGTTATAAAAGAATTATGATGATGTTAAAGTCTAAGATATTGTCTAATTCTAATTGTAGTACGAGTTATTTGCAATGCTTTTCCACACAAGGAAAATATTTTTAACAATCGACACAAGGCCCATGGTAAGTTTGATCGTTATGACATTAACTTTGATGCAAATATTAGCAATTCTCTGTCGAAAATTATCATTGGTACGAGTTTTGTTTTTTAGAGCAAAAATTGGACAAAATGGCATAAATGAGGTTCTGATTTCTACGCATGAAAGGAAAAACACAGTATCTCGTCTTTTTTTATTGAGTGTTGTGAATACAATTGTACTCAACCTTTTTAGGTGTAATGGTTGTTTATTTGTGATGTTTCAGTTAAAGTTATAAGGTAAACTTATGAAATATTTTTCTATAGTTTCTTTAAAATTGCGTACAAAATTTAAAATTGGAAGAAGGTGCAGTCGTTTTTTATAAAAAAGCATAGTTTCTGACTGCTGTTAGGTGGCAGGTAAGCTTCTCTCAAAGCAAATCGCTAAGCAATGCAAATTCATTGCTTTGAGAAACAGGTATTTATTTTGCAACAACTTAAGGTAAGCAGATACCGGCAGATCAGCAGTTGATTCTAAATTTCTTACAATCATATAAATAATTTTCTGAAAATCATAGCAGAAATACATTTCCACTATATAGTAAAAACTTGAAATAAATACCTCAATGCAAACAGAATAAGTTCAATTCTTGTTGACATTTTGACCTTGACTTGCAAAATGCTCCAAAAGATTCTTGGCTTGTTACGAAAGCAAAATCGAACACGAATAATGCTTCCAGGCGCATCAACCAAGAAGTGCTTTTAGCAATGTGTTTTTCTAATGACGATATCTGGATTGTGATATCTTCTTCGTTGATTGAAGTTGTTATCATCCATTAAGATAGGCTATTGAATGCTTTTATGTAGCACAAATGAGCACTGATTTAACAGGCTGCAGCTCGTTTGATTTCCCAGTTAAATCTAGTGTCTCTGGTCACCAGTGGAAGGGAGCATTGATATTAGCGTGTATAAGGAGTCTGCAGCAGGATCTGACCTCGCACTCGACAATCACAATAAGCGTGAAATTTGGAGCAATTTTGATTGCCAACGCGATGTTGAGAAATTTATAATGAAGCCATCCCTAGGTATCGGGATTTATTTAAAAGATATGCTTCATATATTTTTAATTTGCTTTGTTAAGCTGGTGCTCGTATACATCAAACTGCAGCTCAAAGATAAACCCTCCTCTGACACACTTAATTCATTGCTTTATCTCGATACATTATTCATTTCATTGGCTCTATCAGCAGTAGGCTAAGTCATTCACCACTATCCTAGACACTGACCTGACCCAGCGGATTCTCAACGAGTATCTTCATGCAGATCACAGTGCAAGCTATCTATAGCCATAAATTATGATGATGAATCATAAAAGATGTATCATGATTTCTATTTAAGAAAACTATAATCAGCTGATGTTTGAAATAAGGGAACATCAAAACATTGAAACTAAGCCGGCGAAACTAGTGGTTTCCAATTTCGTAGAAGAGAGAAGTTTCAAGAGGACATGCAAAGTCTCTTCCAATACTTTATTACACATATCCCAAGGCTTTGTCTGAATATACAGGGTAGACAGATATTGCCCGTTTATTTTCAAGATTAAGAAATGCAATAGCCGCTACTTAAAGCTTATGACTTTTAACATGCTGCTCACTGTATCTATATTAAAACATCTTATTAATAGGTACATCACCTAATATTTTCATGATTTGAATAGTGCCTATATCTTATGAAATGAGTACAAAAAACTTTCTACAGCCATCAGTTGTTCTACACCCAAAGTATTTTGGTCTGTCTTTTATTTCAATCTTAGATTCGATTTATGAAAAATCGCTCGAAACAAGATACCTGTGGGGCAGAGTTGGCAAGATTCACTCCGATTAAAATTCGTGAGCTTTGTCTGATATAATCTGTTTTCTGGCGTCAAAATTCTTCCTAGTGTTGAGAAACAATCACTGCAAAAAGCCTTGCTACACTACACTGAATTTGTGCACATTGTCAGCAGCAGCACCCCTTTCCCAACTCTGAACAAATTCGTTTTGATCAGCGTAAAGGGCTTTGCTATTCTTAAATAAATTCTTGACAGATCAGTATGATATTTTACTCTACCACCCACATTTTTGGGGAGGTTCAAATAGTGAAAGGGTGATTCAAATAACTTTAGCACGGATTGTAGGTCAAAAAATGTTCATGCTTTTCCTGGTGTATCTTTGTATCTCCGTTAGAAAAGTTTTTATTTAAAACCATTTTTCCTGTAAAACCATGGGATATTTTAACATTTGGAAATAATGCTGCAGGATATTATCTTATCATAAATAAACTAGAATTGACTCACAATGCATTATTTTTAAATCTGGTTGGCATTTATGATGAAATAGCACTGTAGTTCGGATACTCTCAAGAGAAACTTCAGTTGGAAAAGACATTTGCTCGTCGTAAGATATTGCTAATTGACTGCAGTTTCCTTGCAGCTTTTTTATTAAAAGGTAAAATGAAGGGATAATTGCACGGCCTTTTTCCTTAATGTTTAATTAATACGTCAGCAAGTCTTTGACAATGAAGCGTTTACATTGAAACATAGTCCCTTTATGTCCTAAAAATATACTGTAAAACAAGAAAGAAATTGATTGAAAATAGTGGCAATGGTTAGATTCTGCTTGTTGTTACAGACAACTTGAATAGGCAAAAACTCGTAACTCACAACCAGCTCTTCTGCTTGATACGATCATCAATAATAAAATACCTACCTATTCAGTTTAATTGATTTGAGGATTAACTCATTTGTTTTCATACGCTAGAATGCAAAACAGGTACCATGCATTTCTATAGAGAATTGGCAACACAGATCCATCTCAAAAGATATGTGTAATTTGGATACTTCAAAACGTATCGATTTTAACTTGTTAGACAAATCAAACAAGTTTCAAGTAATATAGAAAACATCACAACCTATACTTGCACAGGCTCAGATGGAGTATGACTTACTCTCACAAGATTAAAAAATGCTATAAGAACAGACAGGGGAATGGAAGGTTTAAATCTTTCAAGAAAGTTCAAAGCAGATTCATTATAAATTGAAATAAAATTTAAATTCTAGCTTAGACCCTAAGGGCCCGTTCACACTACTCTGTTTCCAAATGAAAACAGAATCGAACTTATCCGATTTTGCCTTGCGTTCACACTACTCTGCTACGAAAACATAATCCTTTGCAAACGCAAATGAAAACTGATACTTTAGAATACGGTGCGTATTGAATACGCTCCGTTTTTTGTGTAAACACCAAAAACGGATACATTTGAAGATGCTAGCAACGTCAACAAAAAGCGTGCTTTCTAGCACACCAAATTTCAAAAGTTTTGAAATAGGGAATTCACAATGGACTGGTAGCTGTTACAACAAAATTTTTCACAATTTGCTTTTATTTAATTTCATTCATAATGACCCAAATTTGTTGAGGATTTTGTGAACGCCTCTTTTCAAAAATGAGGCCACCAACAGCGTTTTTAATGGAGCAGTGTGAACACTTACTGTATTCATAGTCAATAGAAAATATTTCTTTTGACCATGCTGTACTCAAGTAGTATTCATTTGAAAACGGATAAATGTGAACGGACAGCGTTTTCATCAACGAAAACGGAGCGAAACGAATACGGAGCAGTGTGAACGTAGCCTAAACGACACAGGCCATTTGGAGACTCAACAGTCATTGATGGCATCAAGAGATGGTATAAGGGCAGGGTAATCCCCCCATTTTTGCTAAAATATGGTCCACATAATTGATTTAAAAATCGATAAAGAATTATGTAATTCATAAAATGGAATAAAACTAATGTCAAATGTTAAAAAAACATCCCCACCGCTATGCTTATATTGCTTTTTAGATGGGGTGCTTTTTACATCTCTTACATCGAAAGATGTTCATTATCAATTGCTTGATATAGTAAATTTCATTAAAATCATGATTATCAAATGCACACATTATAGGTGTCGTATTGGTTATGGAATAATTTCTAGAAGGTTTCTTATTTAGCATTGTAAGATTCAGGATGAAAGCTGTCACTCTTGTCTGGTAAATAAGATTGAAAATTGTGCTCATGTTTTGCAGCATTGTGCACCGTCCGTATTTCAGTAATCACCCAAGATAATATATTCTTATATTCTATACGGGTACATGGTATCTTTTTAGTAATCACTGAAAAGAAAGTCAAAGTTGTTGATTTTTACGTGGGATAATAAGAAGAGTTTGAAAAGGGGTTGATACTAACAGAAGTAAACTCACATAGATCGTTATTACAAACGACGAATAAAATAAGAGAGATGAATGAGCCCTGTGTAACAACATCTTTAACTGAGTACAATGACTGCCTAAAGTTTTCAAGGGCAAATTCCATCATCTCCCTTCCCCCCTTTGAACAATGTTGGTTTACTACAAAATGACGTAGAGGATTAGGAAGTACGATTTTTTCTGCGACTTCTATGATATTTTTCTAAATTAAATCATCAACACTGTTTAGGGGAGAATGGGATGTGGAAGCAGAAGTATTCAGAAAACACAACGCATGTAGCTGGGTGTTCCAAGTCCTTTTTACAATGATTGTAGATTATGATGAAGAAACCACCAATCTAGAAAAAGATTCACGCTGCTTTAGCTGAAAAAAATACTGCACAAGAACATTGGGAATTTGAATTAAATTATCTGATGACTGTTGATAAGTTGCTGCATTATTCGCGAGGTAATTTTTATGCTCAAACCACGTTCATCATCGTAATATCCCTCAGGCACATTAATATTGAATGGACAGGTGGCTTGTTGGTTTCATCTGAAATGATGACTTTAATGAAAGCCATGCTGCTGTGTGGATTTCTACTTATATTATAAAACATTATTCAAAGGCTAAAACCTCAAATAAGAACAGTATAATTACATTTGAATCCAAGTTAGGACAAATGACGAAAAGATTACCAGCATGACAGTAATTCCGACTTAGTTTATAAACAATGTCTCTTTGTTTAAAGCTAATAAGTAACCACTCGATGAATCCAACAACTTGCTCCTTAAAATATCATGCTGTTCTAAACGATATTAATCAAAATGCCCAAAACTGCTTTTGGTAGACGTTGTTTTCGCCGTATAGCCTCTGTAAGGACTGAATCTTCATTCTCATGGTTCTAGCCCTTAAAGCTTAAATGATGATTGTAAATATATGCCTTAGGGAAAAAAGATGTTCACAATAGCGTTGAAATGCCAGATTTGACGAGTGAATTTGATTCAGTGATATTTGCCAAGCAGTCAAAAAGCACCGTGCATTCATGAGTTGTAAACATATAAATCGAAAAGAAGATGCGTTAATGGCAATATGAAATCATTTGTTGATACTTTTACATCTGATTCATAAATATTTCTTTTTCCTTTCTTTTCCTTTCCTTTTCTTTCTTTTCCTTTCTTTTCCTTTCTTTTTCTTTTTCTTAATATTTTCTTCTGGAAATTTCTGTTTGACTTGAAATGTTTATTGACTTGAAATTTATCAAGGCATGGATGATAAATTTCAAGAAAATCAATGCTTGTAAGTAGATTCATGGCCATTCATTGAGACTTGTTATAATCGTTAAAGTTGCTAGAATCCATAATCCTACAACATAAAGCTTTTCTGTCATAACTTTTTATTTCATGTTTTCGTGAAAAGTTTTATTGCAAAGTTTCATCCAACAGTTTAGCTGCAGCCAGAAGATAAATGATGATTTTATGTGATGTTTATTTTCCCGGCCCTCCCTCCCTTTCTCTTTTCTCTTGATACCTTCAATAAAATTTCTCGTACCTTTAGGCATTCCTTTATGCTGTTAGCATTTATTTGGATGCTATTAGGTTGGACCGGTGCATCGGCTGTTTAGTGGGGAAAAGAGTCTTTTCTTGTCCATTCCCTCCCCTTTATCAATTAAATTTGGGGGTTATTATGGAAAATACCAAAGTAACCGCTTCCTGTTTAAATCAGTGGTAGGTTTAGCGATTTGCGCTGATGCACCAACGGCCCAACTCGCTCTCGATGATGTGGGAACGTAGCCTCATGACTGATTTTCTGATGTCTAGGGCATGATTTCTGAGGGAGCTTTTTGCCCTTCATTTTGTTGGTATTTTATTCACGAGTTAGTAAATTAAAGAGATCTTAAGGTTTTTGTCTGATAATTAAATCTGAAACATATCTACAATGTGCGAATCTCTTATCTATTGTTTCTATATCGGGGTTTTTTGTATATATCGGAATTTTTTGTGTCTAACTATTCGCTATACTTGAAATAAACTTATCTATGCAATGGAAATTCTTAATTGAAACCACAAGATCCAGTGCGTGTGAGAAAGTACGGAAACCTGCATTTGATCCTAAATAAATTTAAGATACATCTGGGTACATGAAGTAGCTGTTCACACCAGGTTCTACATATATTATAAAACATTATGCAAAGGCTAAAACCTCAAATAAGAATAGTATAATTACAATTGAATCCAAG